CGGTAACCCCCGAATCAGTTTTGCAAATTAAAAATCAGTTTATTCATTTATTCAAAAGATTTGCGAAAAATTCGCGTACTCTGGTATATCAAGGAGCGGGGCGTTACAATTAGAGCATCTTGAAGTCATGGTATCTAGGAGAAGGCCGTAGTGCGTCTGTTAGATACACCTATCGTGGATAAACGAAGGCCCTGAGTGCGCCGTTTGTTCACAACCCGTATAGATAACAACACGATACGTCATCACTGCTTGTTGGCGCGTTGCTGCCGCTATGTGCGGACAGCTCAGCCATGGCCGGCCCTTGCCGGCCGTTTGGCAACATCTCTCAACCGAAACAACATGAAACAACATAATATAACATGACATGACCATACATGCTGACTTTACTCAAAATTAACAGACTTTGCTCGATGGACTCAAATGGTGTCGAGGCGTGCGTACCATACTCACGTGTTCGGCGTTAAGCCAACTCCTCAACTAATCATGAAATTCTCTCGACCAACTTGACTTAACTGACCATAAAATGACCTAAAATAACCAATTAAACATGAATTGTTCGAACAATTATGATCACCATGAAAGATGACATGATAAGGTGTGCAATGGCCCGTGGGCATGCGCTACGTGCACTGCCGACTTCTTTGGGCCAAATCATGGACAAAACTTCAACTTGTCTCGACCTATCTTTTTAAATTGAATATATAATGACATAACATGATCAACTGAACTTGATTTGCTCGGGGTTATTCGATTATAATCGAACATCACTCGGTCATGACATATAAGCACAAAACCGAGTAAACATAGCATTTTTTTATGAATTTCTGAACAAGGATGAACATGATGACTTCAAATGATCTTATTTAACATGAAAAGAGGATGAAAAGGTTGTTACCTCTTCAAGTGTTCGGTTGATTCACAAGAACTTGCGTGCTTCTCGACTCCGCGCGTGCGTGTTTGTATAATGGCTAATCTAGCTTAACTCTTGCTAAGCAATTTGCTGAACTTATAGCTTATGTAATAAGCTATATCTTACCCACAACATCAGATTTATAGGGATGGTAGATGAAGTGAATTTGAGTTGAAAAGTCTCGGCCAATGGCCGAGCGCCACTTGCCGTTAGCTCACGGCCTTAAGTGGCCTTATGGTGCTTACTCACCACATGATATGCTTAGTCATATTACAAGGTACTCCTAAGCTTCCACGTGTGCTATTGGCATGAAGAAAAACTGACGTGAAAACTAGCTCTCGGCCATTATGTGAAGTAAGCGCAATTTAGGCGTGCTAAGCATGCTTGATGTTAAGTTAAGTATGGTTACCTTTAAGCATGATTAACATTAAACTAATCTTTATTAATGTTAATTAATCATCATTAATATTAAGCTAATTATGATTATCTTTAAGTTAATCATGATTAATTAGCTAAACATGGATTAAGTTAATTAAGCATTGATTAAGATAATTAAGCAAGAGTTAATG